CCGTTCCCCTCCCGCTCCTACCGACGCTGCGCTTCCTTTCGCTATGCCTCCTTCGGGGTCCCCGCTGGCCCCAGCGAACGGGGCCGGCAGGATAATGGGATCAAGGCGGACGCAGGCCGAGAGGAGCTAAAATCGTGGCTGCAGGGGACGACACTCTTTGATTTTTAACCATTACGGAGTTTTCATAGAGCTGCAGTCAATTTATTTTATTTATTCTAATGAAGAGCATTAGGAGGGCCATGGTGTGCTGCACTGCACATTGATCGCCTCGTTAATCACACTTTGCAGACACTCGCAAATCAAGTTCGAACAGCAAGCACTGAATCAAGAGCAATGAAGCGTAAGCGCCTTCACAATTTATGATCTTTCAAATTGCATCTTTTCAACCATTAAATTGCAAGATACCATAAATTTTTATCCCCCTTCTTCAGTCCCGGTATTGATTCTGTCGTGTGAAAAATAGAGGAGTTGTAAATTCCGGCAGTTAGACCGATCTTAAGCTCCAGCGAGGTGGCCTGAATGGCGGAAGCAAGGTTGTTAATTTACTGATGAGAACAAATATCAGCAGAAGTCAACTTTTAAAAGTCAAGCCTCGCAGGAGGACTCGGGTAAGTTTCGACGATGAACTTTACTGCACTCTAAAAACACCAGTTACGGCTGGACAATTTATCACATTCAAATTGACATCATGATTTACAGAGGATGCGATTTTGGGGGAAAAAAAGAAAAAAGCTTTCTCTTGGTCGGTTGGTTGCCTTAATTTATCTTTATATATATATATATATATTTCTGCATAATAAATCTGAACTTCGTTACAGTAAAACAGTTTAATTTATTGCTTGATGTTTAAAAAAAAATACATGGCAAGAGGATCTTGAAAAAAAAAAGAGAAATGCATCTAGAATCACAATCGCAATGATGAGAGTGGGGGGAAAATTTTTAATTCGATTATTTCTCAAAATTATTCAGTGTACGATCTTTCAGATGGCATTTTTGGGGCGATTACAGATTAAGAATGGGAATAAAAATCCTTCCCGTGAGTGATAATGACGATTTTCAACAGTCAAACTACTTTGGTTAAAAATATGAGGGAAAAAAAAAAAAATCAAGGCACTTAAAACAAATCAAAGGCCCCAAAGTGAAAACCCGGCATCAACACTTAGCTCAGAACAATTTCAATCAGGTTGGAGAGTCACATACTTGCTTTTACCTGCGAAAATGTACACTTCTCACCAGCCCCATACTGTTCTCACTAAATGGCATAATTGTTCTTGGATTGCATTGTACTCTGACCGAACTGCAAGGAACCCTCGTCCAACAATACCGGCAAATTAGTTCTTTATGATTGGGCTACCTTGCCATCCACACAGCACTTTATACATCTCGGAAGGGGGGTGGGGTGCCTCATTTTGCTGTGAGTAGACATGAAAAAACTTCTACATAAAAAAAACAACAAAAAAAAAACGTTTCCACAAAAGTTCTCCTGCTGTTTTGTGAAACGTGGAATGCTGCTTTTACAAAAAAAAAAAGTGTGTCCATTTAAGTCTTTTTTTGGTGCCACTTTTTAATTGGAGTAGCAGTCTGAGATCTTGGGGGAATGTTTATGTTTACATTGAACGAGGGGGGGGGGGGGCTGCAAATGACTCGCTTTTACATGTCGACTCCAATTTTGGAAAGAAGTGATGCAACACAACTGGCGACACGGACCCTCCCCAGGGAAGAAGAATCAGCCGAGGAAAGAGCAAGAAAGAAAAACAAACCATAATAAAGGGCATTAGCGCTCACAAACATTGGATTGATCAGACAATTACAATCAATCTGGCGTGTTAAACCCAATCTGGTAGCAGACGCAGGTTGGCAGCCTGCCGTCGTGCAGCTGGAATCTTTCCAGATGCCGTTTTGCTGGTGTGCTCATCGGAAACGTGTGGCTTTTTATTCTCACTCTTCTTTTTCGTTCCTACATTTGACCATTTCTAAGGAGGTTTTAAAGCAGTTGAACTTGGATTACAAAATGTTGCAAAAGCAAATTTGCTTCAGAGACTGTCAAAGTCGACCGGATTGATTAATTTGTTTTCTTGAAATTATTATTTTAATCTTTCACTTCTTTTTTTAATCTACATCCTAAAAAATACAAATAAATAAAACAGGGCATCACTTCCAATGAGCGGCTGGAATTCCAAGGATTTGGATAGGTTTGAAGTAAACAAGGTCACAAAAACAATGAATCGGTTATCAAAATAGTGATCAGTTAGTTAGATAAACGATGAGCTTTAAATTAATTGTTGCATCCCCAAATTATTTAAATATTTCAACCTTTACTTATCCAGGTATGGAAAAAGAGAAGATGTTTTCATTTGCAAACAAAAAACTGACCTGTATTCTGAATTTATAGTGTCAATGAAAAGTTCAATTTGTGCTGGGAAGAAGGGAAGAAAGATAAAACTCACCTTTGTGATATGTCACAGTGGGAATGAGCATAACCATAGGGCAGGAACGCATGGCTGATTGGAAAAACCAAACTGCAGTGGCCCCATGTTGGATCCCTGAGGAACACAAATGATATTCCATGTAACTGCTAATAATAAATTAAATAAGGAACATTGCTTGTACAAAAGACAAATAAACACAGGAAGACAAACATCAGTCACAAAGTCATCCTTGGCTGAAAAGTCAGCTCAAGCATAATTGCATGAGTGTCACTTCTAAATGTTTTGCCGAAGAGACCTTACGGCAGATGAGGGCAACGCAATTACAATCTCAACACAAGTAATAGATAAAGAAACACCACGTTTGGATTTCCCCTGCGGAAACATCCTGTTCCTCTTTATGTTGCTTTAAAAAAAAAAAAAAAAAAAAAACAGAGTTAACCAGCGCCATGAACAAGCACTTCAAATTTCACTAAGAGACTCGTCAGCCCAACGTTGGGCCCGTCACAGTGGCAGTAAATGTGCGATGACAGTTTCATTGCCCGGTGACATTCCTCCGCCAGGTAATGTGGGTCCCACTGCGAGTGGGCCAGCATCTTACAGTTGGACTCGCCTTCACTGTAAACACCCACCGAGTCCCCCCATAGCCATTTTTACTTACTGCCCACCACGTCCGGAATATAGCTGCAGGTCCAAGTGAGTTAATTAGATGTGAATGTGAAATAAAGGCACTGTGGTGGATTGTTACGTCGGGAGAAGCGTGGACGTAGACGTGATCTCCGAGTGAGGAGAACAATTGCCTGAGAATCAAAACATGCTGTCAGAGGCTCACCTAAGCAGCAGCAAATGACCTGACTTTGGAATACATTACAGTGGTAATTGCTCTGACAAAATTACCTTGTCTAAGATGAGCTCAGCCAGACATGCGAAATGTGCATGTCAATCGGCTCAATTTCTTGAGCGTGGGGAAGGCTACAATCACCACTTTTATACAATGGGGGAATTTTTTTTAAAAATAAATCAACAGGGAGCTAGCTGACACAAACATGCAATGAAATGTGCAGAAATTAATCGATTTATAGTGCATACTTTGATTAGATGTTAATGATTTCAAAGTAGGGCGCGGACGGAATTTTGGAATTGGGGAGGAGGGTGGGGGGGGGGTTGCCAAGTTAAATATGAAAACGCATGAAAAAGCCATTGTAGGAATTCTTATTCGGAATCACGGCTGTACAATAATTCTTGTCAAATCTCACATCCGCTGTTGAACATTAGTGGTACATGATGAAACTATTTTGTCTGGAATGACATCTTTTATTTTGGTGACTAGCTCCCCATTCACTACAAAACAATTAATTGCCACATCTCATCAATAGGCAACAAGCGTAGGATCTAATAGTCGACTTGCATTTTTTTTTTCAGAAAATGCTGTGATTCTTCTTCTTCCTTATTTTTTTAAAATTTTTTTTAAATTAGTTATGAACACTAAAACCTGTTCCTTGGGACCTCCCCCTGGCTGCAAACCCCACACGGTAAAACAAGTCAGGGAAAAAAAAAGATGTAGCTATTTACAGGTACTGTACTTAAAGTACTGTAATATTTTAATTCCGTGTTGAATACACGCCACAAGACATATAACATATAGCTAAGCCGAAAAAAAGTTACAATTGGCTGGCGACCAGTTCGGGGTGTACCCCGCCTATCGCCCGGAAACAGCCGGGATAGGCTTCTAACATGCCTGTGGCCCGAGTGAGGAAAAGCTGTTTGCAAAATGGGCGGATAGATAAAAAAAAAAAAAGTTACACACATCTTTGTTCCTCCTATATTTCCCGACGAGCAAACCTTCTTCTTTTTTTGTGTGTGTGTGCGTGAGGAAACTCCATGATAGTGTGTTCTAGTTACCGGCTACCTTCATCTTTACAAATCTTGCCATCCAGCCTTTCTCCAGTGCTCGGTTAGTTAAACCCACGATGCTACTGTATATCGCCGAGGAGGACAAAAGGGGCTGAACAACTGCCAAGACAGAGGGACCCATCTTAATAAACAAAAGCATATTATCATGCGCGGACTTCAACTTTGATTACCAGTTGTGCTTCTTTGTGGTGGGCGTGCGCATTAGCAATGGGAGCGTTACAATTCCCCTTGTGCCTACGATCCGATGAGGATCACCTTCATCCGTCTGAAAGGTGATTGCCGAGCAAAATTGTTTCTCCAAACGCATTCCGCCCGAGGCGAGAGCACATTTTTTCCAGCGTGTTAACAAACATGTAATTTCCATAAACACGTCTGGTAATTGACAGCTTGATTTGGGTTGTGCCAGCGAGCTGACAGGCTACTCTTGGCCTCCCTTTAATGCAAACCGAGTCGGCTTAAGGCCTCGCCGGGCTCTAATGAGCCTCTCAGGGCTTTGTCTGGATTAAGCCTCCGACAAGAGCAGTCTCACACAAATCCCATCCAGCATTCTTTATCTTGTTAGATGACATCATTTAATCTCATCAGTGATATGAATAAACGAGTCGCAATGAGTTTGTTGACAAATCACAGCGACAAACAGCAGCGTGTCAGCACAAAGGATGTGATATTACACTGCAGAATGACTAAGAAATACACAAGGGAAGAAAAAAAAATTCCAGTTAAGCAGCAAAAAGTGGCTACTTATAGTTACGCTCACTGGGCATAGATAGATAAAAAAATACGATAATAGGAAATTAATTCACTATTGTAGTGCAGTCGTCGGCCTAAGCCGTCATCCAAAACATATTTGCTTGCTTCATCACACTTCCTACCCGCCGAGCGTTGACAAAACAAATCGCCAAACCGATGCCTTTGAAAGTGACGACCGCGAATCAAACAACGCTTTGCGCGAAAGCGCGTCCGTGGCTTCGAAACGTCGGTCACGCGACGACACGACGAAGCTCGGCAACCAAGATTTCGCAGCCTGAACGCCGGTGGCGCGTTCTGCTCCATTCTTGTTCGTCAAAAGACGGCCGCCTGCGCCGAGATGTCGGCGAGCACAAGAGGGGAAAAATAGACTCGGGTAAATCTGTATTGAGCTGAGCATGAAGGCTGTTAATACATATTAATGGTGACAGGAGTATTTGCAAGTGAATACACAGGCAAAGGGGATTAAACATAAGTCACCATAGAAGGGGAGGTATCATCACTCCCATTCTGGCGTGGGACTGGCCTCTATCAGATTCATCCACATGCACATTGCCAGCCAACACTGAGCCCTTATCTCCTCGCTGGGCCTCTCCGGAGAGTTTACAATTTCTCGCTTCGCTGGAGCCTGAGCTCAGCTTGTTACGGGGGCACAAAGGCTGCGAGGTGGCCTGCTCCAAGCACAAAGCTCAGACCTCACCTCTGGACACACACCCCCCCCCCCGCCCCCACCCCAGATAACGCCTGACATGTCGGGCAGCGGCGCAAGGGCGACCCTTCACATGAGTGAAAACAGCACGCAAACGGTGCGCCAAGTTAGAACGGGGCAAATACACAATCGGTGCGGCAAAGTTGTGATGTGGCTCCGGCGAACGGTGGCCTCCTGTTAATGAGCCGACGTGAAGCCAGCTGACGCCGGGGACGCTTGCACGGCGCACGTGACGATGAGGAGAGAGCGAATGTGCTCTCTGCGTCGATACTCGTCATGTGAACTCCTTGCAGAGTTTAATTTGATCACATGATCGATTCAAAACAACAAGTGGACATTTATATGAAAATATTGATGTCCAAGAAATAGGTTGACATTTTTTTTTTTTTAACCGTGAACACATTGACAGACAAATAATCATTTAAATCCTTTAAAATGGTTGTATTGTTTTCAATTGTGTCAGATGCGTACTTTGAGTTTACGTTTGTCACTTTAGTTATGTGCCTGGGTTTTCACTCAATCCTGTTAGCGTAATACGTTACCCTCACTCTGAAAAAAATTCAGGCGGCGCACAGGAAGTTGCATCATTCACAATTGGAAGCGCCAAAAGTAAGTTCATTCATTTATTTTTCTGTATATTTGATCGTAAAAATTATTTTGCTTTGTTATTTGCGCATTTTAATGGGGGTGGGGGTACAATCGCTGTAATGTGCTTAATGTCAACATGCTATTAGCAAGAATGTCATTTGGCTATATTGCACATATTTGTTAATTCTTTGCTCACAAAAAAATAAATAAAATAAATTAAAATTTCCATTCCAGTTACTCAGATGAGTTTTAGTGCAATAAAAGAATGGCATAAAATAAAATCCAAATCCATCCGTGAGCAAAAACAACGGCTGATCTACACATGTATGCAACACAAGTTAAAATAAAATTTAAAAAATAAATACATCTCTGCGCTTTGAAGCCAGATTGCAGCTTGTCTTACACAAACGAGGCCTCCCGGTCGTTACGATGTCAGCAGACGTGTTGCTGAGACAGCTCCGCCATTGTTTCGGTGCGACACAATGAAATTCTATTTTCGGTTTTACTTGGTGCGGTAATTATCTGCATTGTTGCTTGGGAATAATGAAAAATAAAGTGCATGAATATGTGCCGGTCAATTGGATTCTGTCACTTCAAGCAGAATCGGGGTACACAAGCGAGCGCCTTGCCACAGACAAATAATCATTTAAATCCTTTAAAATGGTTGTATTGTTTTCAATTGTGTCAGATGCGTACTTTGAGTTTACGTTTGTCACTTTAGTTATGTGCCTGGGTTTTCACTCAATCCTGTTAGCGTAATACGTTACCCTCACTCTGAAAAAAATTCAGGCGGCGCACAGGAAGTTGCATCATTCACAATTGGAAGCGCCAAAAGTAAGTTCATTCATTTATTTTTCTGTATATTTGATCGTAAAAATTATTTTGCTTTGTTATTTGCGCATTTTAATGGGGGTGGGGGTACAATCGCTGTAATGTGCTTAATGTCAACATGCTATTAGCAAGAATGTCATTTGGCTATATTGCACATATTTGTTAATTCTTTGCTCACAAAAAAATAAATAAAATAAATTAAAATTTCCATTCCAGTTACTCAGATGAGTTTTAGTGCAATAAAAGAATGGCATAAAATAAAATCCAAATCCATCCGTGAGCAAAAACAACGGCTGATCTACACATGTATGCAACACAAGTTAAAATAAAATTTAAAAAATAAATACATCTCTGCGCTTTGAAGCCAGATTGCAGCTTGTCTTACACAAACGAGGCCTCCCGGTCGTTACGATGTCAGCAGACGTGTTGCTGAGACAGCTCCGCCATTGTTTCGGTGCGACACAATGAAATTCTATTTTCGGTTTTACTTGGTGCGGTAATTATCTGCATTGTTGCTTGGGAATAATGAAAAATAAAGTGCATGAATATGTGCCGGTCAATTGGATTCTGTCACTTCAAGCAGAATCGGGGTACACAAGCGAGCGCCTTGCCAGCTCGTAACAAGGACGGCGCTTGCGTGGAACAATTTGCCCTCTAAAACAGCTCATCAACACAAGAGAGTCTGTCACCGCGGGGACGGACTGACAAGTCGTGCGCATCTGTCTGTTATTAGCGTGTCTCTGGCGACAAGCTCAATTATCTGACACTGCCCGTAATTTCCATTTCCTTTTTCTGGCACAATGTAAACTTTTTCTCTCCTTCCTTTTTTTCAAAAGGCGTTCGTCTCGGATGCTGATATAAGAAGAAATGTGTGGGAGGAGGAAGCGGGAAACATCTGCTTGTCAGAGGGAGGAGGCTGCCAGGCTCGCTATGATGAGGCCTTGATGGTTGCCTCCACTCGAGTGCTTGTGCTCGGATGAGTCCGTCAAGAGGCAGACGATGGCAGAAACGCTTCTAAGTCCGATAATGAGCGGAGCAACGATTATATAAAGAGGGATTAAATTACTGTTATGACGTCTTTATGTCTTGTAGGCACTTGGTGTCAACCAAGTCCTCTTGGGAAGGAGGTGGGTGAAAACCAGCAACATGCAGAAGTCTTTTGGGAGTCACGGAGGAGTCATGTTGGCAGTCAACAGTCAAATTGGACGGATTAGGTAGCAGGATTATGTCCAAGAGTAATTTTGGGTGAGGATGGCCAGAGACATCAATTTATTTCAACTGTTTGAGTCACAATGGTAGCAATTTGGGTTGAATAATTAATCACATTCAAATTGACGTCGCAGTGTCGGGAAATACCTTTTTAAAGTGCATAGGCTCCAATTTGATGAGAAAAAAAACTGCTTCGTTTTGGTCAGTCTGTAGGAATTTTTTTCCATTCATAAATTTCAACTACTGGTCAGTTCACACACACGTGGGTGGAGATTTTTACAATTTTTTTTGACCAAACTAAAGCGCTGAAAATGTGAAGAGACACTTGGAAAAAAATATCATCGATTCAAAAACTTTTTCAAATCGCTCAGCCCTTTTCTAGTCCTTTCAGTCACAAAGACACCGCCCGCTTGTTCACCGAGAAGTAGAGAATAATTAACAAATGGCTGACCAAACAAAGGTGAAAACAGGACAGACTCCATTCATCGCATCCGCTGCTTCGAGTGCTGACCGACTGCGGACGCACAACATGAGGTGAAAATGTCCGCCGGTAGCGAGCCAAAGGCTGTGAGTGAGTTTAAGTGTCTGCCTTTCCGATGGGGTGAGCGTTAGAGGAAGTGGTAATGATGACGGCTCTAACTCAGTCCAGGTGCACTAAAGCATGGCAGGCTGTTCAATTGCCCAGAACCCATTACGGCTCCCCCGAGAGCAACCTTGTAACGTGCGAGCTAGCTTCTGTAGAGCACTGACCTACTGTCAACAGAGAACTCGCTCCCATTTTTACATGAAGACGCATTGCAAAGGTTAATTCTGCTTGGCGAGATTACCTTTTCTGAGTGGGATGAAAATGGCTCAATGTGCACAAATGTGTGCATGAACAACAACGTGGGCTGGTAGGTCCTGGCATTTGCTACTTGTCTTTCTCTGCAATTGTTGATTGTCTTACTGCAAAAACAAATTGAGGGACGTGTAACATCCACAGTACAGTTTCTCATTGTGAGCAATGTCAGGAACATTTACGCACTATTCTCGGAGGAATTGAGGACGATATGAAAATATGAACATTTTTAGTAGCGTGTCAAACTCCGGTCCTCAAGGGCCGCAATCCTGCACATCGTTTTCCCCTCTTCCAACACAGCTGATTCAACTGATCCGCTCATCAATAAGCTCTGCAGGAGCCTGACAAGCATTCTGATCATGTGAATCAGGTGTGTTGGAGAAGGCAAACATCTAGAACAGCCCTTGACGCTCGGAGTTCGATGCCTGTGCTCTAAAACCAGGATGTAGCGTAGCCTGCCAGCTAATTAATTGCACCTTGGAAAGTTTGGCCTTGGCAGAGGTCTGCGCTCTCCTGATGTTCGAGTTACACTTGATTGGTCAGATCCATTTTCAGTACAGAGCTGAACGATGACTACTGCTGTCTTCGGGCAGTAGGCGGGGGGACACCCTGAACTGATTGCCAGCCAATCGCGGGGCACAAATTGACGAACAACCATCCGAACTCACACTCACACAAAGGGACAATTTAGAGTGTTCAATCAACCTGCCATGCATGTTTTTGGAATGTGGGAGGAAACCGGAGTACCCGGAGAAAACCCACGCAGGCCTGGGGAGAACATGCAAACTCCACACAGGAAGGCCGGAGCCGGGATTGAACCCACGACCTCTGCGCTGTGAGGTCGACACGGTAACCACTGGACCACCGGGCCGCCCTTCATAGAAAATATGAGGGAAATTTTTTTTTTTTTTTGCATGTACATTTTACAATACTGTCTGTAAGTAGCAGCACGGACAAAATGGGGGCTTCCCACTCCCGAGCTCCCTCTACAGTTGAAAGTACAACTTTCTCTAAACCAAGAACTGTGCAAAAAAAAAAATGCCACCGAGTTGACCTTGTGTGCTGTTCGCATCACCGTTCCAGAGTCATCTCGGAGACAGCCGATGTTTGATGACCTGCCAGATGCGTTCCATCTGACCATGGTGTAAATGGGAACAAAATTGAGCTCACCTTCGAGGCGGACTCGAGTCCTCTTGAAAGCTGAAAAGCCCGGCAAGGGCCCAGTGCTGGCAGTCCTTGTTTTGCTCCCTGAGACACGTGTAATCAGAGCCAAAGTCCAGCGCAGATTACAGTCTTCAATCAGTCAGGGAGGAAAATGATATGTACATTATTGTCTCTGCGGCACATCAGTGCCACTGTCACCCTGCGTGCATATTACCTGTGTCAAAGCTGCCACGGAGCCGTCAAGCGCCGGTGCGGATTCTCGCCGGCTCGCACACTCCGTGGGGGGACTCTGTTGTGACCTCGGAGGATGTTGTTGACACCATTTAATGTACATTTCCAGACACAAAAAGGTCTCCTGTCATATCTGAAATTGTCTTCCAATAGGCTGAATAACACTAACGGCCTGCTCTTGTCACCGCAAGACAAGACCGAGAGCGCACTGCTCAGTTCTGCTTCAATTGGAGGGAGTTGAAGCGCAGCTGTCGGGTTTGACCTTGAGGTGAGCAATGAAGGAGAGTTAGTCTGCATAGCGAAGGTAACTACACGACAGCGTCCGTCCATAATCTCAGACAATTGTCTCGTCAGTAAGAAATAGACGGACACAATGGACATCATCATGCAGGATATTGTTGTCGATTCACTTTTCACAGCTGGATGCGGCTAACAGTAAATGTGAAACAGCAGGGCAGAAATTCCACAATGAAGATTAATCCGATTTGAATTCCATCCCTAAAAAAAGGAGAAGCACAGGCCGTAATCCCCCGGGGGGAACGAGTGCTTAATGTGAAGCTGAATGGCACCTCGCAACGTAACAGGATGATGCAAAATGATTTGTAAGCACAGCAATTCAAACATGCATGTGCGACGGTAACTGTACGGTGGAAAATACATAAAAAATGTCATTTGCAAGCATGCTGGATATCGAGTTTGCATAATAGCACCCCCCAGCCCCTCGCACCGCCACCACCACCGCTCTGTGTCCCACACCAGGTATCACCTTGAGAAATTGAGATCCACACATGTTCACATCACAAGCACTTTTGCTCGTGCTACAATTGTGTTTGTCTCCTTTGGACCTGCCAGTGCTCAGGGGGGAGGTCACCAAATTGTCTGTGAGAGAAAAAAAAAAAAAAAGAGAGAAAGGTGCTGACCTGCCGCTAAATTGTCCAGATTGAGTGGACGGAGAATATCAGGTTATTGAGTTGATCCATGCTGGGTTTCCTCGCCGGGGGAAAATGATCAGTGCCATTGTCTGCCACGTGTAGTTGATCAAGGGCAAGCGTGTGACGGGGAATGCGGCACCAAAAAAGGACACCCTTCAATCCTGGCCATAAAAAACAAAACAAAACAAAAATAAACACTCTTAAACTAAATATTCAGCAGTATGCCACTTAAGCGGATTTATGCAGTCTACATGCAAAGATTCTGTAGTCCTCTAAATCTAAAGAGGCGCTTTACACTCAAAACAGAGGTAGTACATGACTGCAGCTGTGTGACACCAACAATCCATTGCGCTGTACTTGTTCCTTGAGAAAGGAAAATAATAGTCATTTGGCAAAATTGCAGGCCTATCTTGCCACGAATGGGCGAAAAGCACAAAAACTGGACCAAAAATGGAGACGAGGCCGCCTTCATCCTTCCAAGTGTTTTGTATGTGAGGGACAGTAGAATGCAATATGTCATTTGAACCAACAGTGCACAGGCAAGGTTATAAAGCGTAATATTTAATTCTGTATTATTGCTGTGGTTGCTCGCGTTCATTGTCTGTGCAGTTCCAATTTGGCGAAAAATATCTTAACAGAATCACCCCATGGATATGAAAGGGGAAAAAAAGCTTTTCTTTCCATTTTCCATCATTACTGTTCCTATGAGGTGAAAATAAACAGGTCTTGTAAATTTGAACGATTGAAAAAAAATTGCCAAGTAGTGTACAGTATATCAAATACTCAACTGTCAGCTGTAAATTAAGTATCAGTCATCCGACTGACGTATGTCTGGCATCTGTCCGATGCCTACGCGTCCCTACATACTTAAACTGTCAAAATATCCGATTAAAGTTTCTCATCGCGTCGTTGCAGGGCTTTCCAGCTAGCTGCCAAGCTAACATGCTTGAGCCAAGAACTAAGAATTGCTAACGAGGGCGGCGGGAGGACTTGCCCAAGTGCTTGATCCAGTGCCGTTTTAGCCACGCCCCCCAAAATCCGGACGTATTATTATGGGTGTTTGCAGGCCATTTTGTGGGGTGCTCAAGCACCCCTAAAATGAATTCCAGTCCCTCCTGAAATGTATGACTTTTTTTTTAATGTAATCTGCTTTTAAACAAGCTGGAGAAGTGTATTGACATACAGTAGTGTTGAAATCTAATATTTTAACAAGGAAATGACAGCAGTTATCTTCAAACACGTACACTACACATTTTTGGAAACAAATCTCTGGATTCACTTTGCAGGGTCTATCAGAGCATTTAACCAAGAAGGGGAAAAAAAAAATAACGATCAAGTCTTGCAGCATACAAATGATGTCGAGCAGCTCTCCATCCACTGTTGTGCTTTCTGGCATGCACAACAAACCTAATAATACCAAACCGAAGAGTATCAAAAGTCATAAGCATTGATCAAAGGAGCTCACATGTCAAATGTGCGTCCAGTTCAAGCGGATAAGGCACGCCGCTTCATGCAGATTGTCCCAGAGGTGTGTGCACTGTGGATTTCTTACCTTCAGGGGAGCAAAGATTATTACAATATTCAGATTACAGAGCAAAGGAAATTAATTGGACTAATTAACATACAAGTAAATGATGATACCGTTAACACATTTCATTAACTCAAACTGTCATTCTATGTTCTTCCTGCACTTGGTATTGCATTACAATGACTTGGATTCATTAAAGTATGCAAATGAAAGGAAGGGGGTTGGGGGGGGGGTGAACGAGGCCTCTTTAACAGACGACACCATTTGACTTGCTTTTTATTTTCTGAAAAAATAAAAAAACTCGCATACTGATTTACTCCATAAAGCTTTTTAGCGACTATTTTAATTATGTTCATACACATTAAAATCTAGTGGTCATTCATAAATGTTGAAATCACTTGTGCTCCTTTTAGTATACAATATTGAACAGAAAGAAAAAGCACTAAGATGTCATTGGTAAGAGTGTTCCGTTGCCATCCAAGCTAAAGGCAATTTATTAATCAGATGTACAACATTGAGCCAAATTTATTCCCTTCAATGAGCCCATCGCTGAAGAACAATGGGTGGCCACTGAGTGCGTCACCTGTCCGAATCCAGATCTTTTTGCAGCACGCTGGTTAATGATGTGGACTAGTGACTAGAAATTGCAAATAGCACAAACAATTAGCTGTACTGCACTTGCGTACTTAACCGGTGTAAAAAAATTACTTCAAATACTGCCTTTTTTCCATTTTTCTCTGGCAAAACTATTAAGTCTACACCTTTGTGACTTTTTTTCCTTTTGGTAGGGTACCTTGATAACGGTTAGTAAACAGATTACAGTGAACAGGGCACAACGTTGAATTCACTTTCCCCAGATCCAGTCCACCATGTCTTTTTTTTTTTTTTTGGCCTACCAAAAAAATAAGTGCTACTTAATTTCCCTTGATAAAAGAATTTGTTATTGTCCTTTTGACAGGAACCCCCCAACCCAATTTCTTTTTTTTTCCCCTCACCAAATACCTCGTTTAAATAAATAGAATAATTTTATATTCTTTGCTTGTTACTATTTTACATCACTTCTTATTTCAAATGTCATTTCTGTAATAGGATGAAGGGGTGATTATACATTTGATATTCAGTCCTAATGGCTCTAAGAGGAAAACCTTCACTCCTAAAAATTTGCTTTGCACCTCATGTAATTAAAAACGAAGCTCACACCAAGTCGGACATCTCAAAGAAAATCATGCTCACGTCTGATTGATTTGGTGTGGCCCAGAACTGCATCGTACAAACTCGTATTTGTTGAGCTACATGACGGACAAAATAATAGAGGGGGAAAAAAAAAATCATGACGCAGTGCTGCTCTAAACCACTAGCCACAAATACAATAATGTAAACAACATGAATTAAGGAATAAACAATACTCACGTGACATTTCAAATACTGTACTGATGACCAAGGCAATCCACAAGTGTACTGTACTTCACACCCACTCACTCCTGCAGGTTGTGTTTAGTTATGACACTTTCCCCAACAGATTATGCTTCTAATATTCTGGAGCTCACCCGCGTTCGGCCTCAGTCGATTTCTGATTCTGTCTTTGGAAAGCCACACCGGGAAGGTCAAGGGGTCAAGCCGGCCTCAGCGTTTCCTCCCTTGGCTGCAGTGACATCTGCTGGACCATACTGACGCAGGGGAGGCTGCAGAGTTTGAGAATGAAAACCTCAGCAACAAAAAGGTAAGTACAGCACAAGGGAACTGCTTCCAAATTTGGACGCACGAATAAAATACATGGGGAATTCAAGTGTAACAGAAATGTTTATAATGACATTATAGACAGATTTTTGTACAGTTCTAAACAAGTAAAAACTGCAATTCTTAGTACACAAGGAACTGTGTCAGTTGAAGTTGACAATGTATATATTTATAAAAAAAAAGTAATAATTCATTTCACATATTCCTTTAGATGTTGGGGCCAGAAATAACATTTAACATGGGAATGCAACACATTTCTTATAAAAAAAAAAAAATCTATACAGAGATTTGTTGACATGGATGAATGATGATTCATTATAAGAGGACAGTGCTGTTCAAAATTCAATGTACCACCTTTAGAATGACATTTCTACTTAAATTAGGCTGATTGTGAATTGCACATCGGAGATGATTCGGTAAAAGAAACAAGGGTCATTACCAAATGGGGAGGGGGGGG